TTGTACCGACTTCCTATTCCTGAACCAGAAAATATAATAAAATAATAAAAAAGAGTGAGTTAATAATTAGTGTTTCTAAGCAGCATGAAGCTGTAATAGTATACTGTCCTTTAATGTGACCTGTATCTCAATACTCTTAAAAACTAACTCAAAAGTTTGAAACAAAATTAAGAGTATGGTTTACACACAAATTCTCAACATAACTACTGCACTGTTGAACGGATGAAGTTGGGAATTCAAGTTCTTTACATGTAGAACACACAAGAATTCTCAAGTTACTTCATGAGCTCTAGTTTACTTCACTGTTACACATTAAATGTAATCTGTGACATCCATAATGCATCATACACAAAATTGTGGCTGATGATCTTTCCCTATGTATGACTATCATGTTTATAGCAACCTTATATATAAGAAGATACAGCAGTATCTGTAAATTCTTGAAAACTTGGATTTGTAAATTTATAATCGTGGTAAATCTCTTGGCTAGGGCAAATGTTTCTAGGGAAACTGTGATCAGTGAGCACCCTCTGTACACATACTGCAAGATGAAATAGAAACTGATCATAAAACTTTTCAAACTGCTTTCTTAGAAATTCATTAACATTTTCTTTTACTTATAGGATGGCACATAATAAAATATTAATAAAAGTAACCTGAAAGAAATAGTAATGGCTTCCATCTTCTTTAAACTTCACCTGCTTTCCTCAATTAGATGAGAGAAACAATTTTGAGAACTCCCCTTTCTGTAAGTTGTGTAAAAAATCAAAAGCCTAGCAATGGATGTAGCAAGTCCAACTGCTAGTATTCAGGAAGAATTTCAAGAATATAAATACTGCTGGAAGACAAGTATTAACAGTCAACAGAGACAAAAAAAAAAAAAAAAAAAAAAAAAAGAGAGAACTCTTTATCTTTACTGAGTCCTGCTTCTGACCTGTGCTGTAACTTTGATTTAGTTGTGCCCTTGTATAAAGAGGTGAATGGACTACATCCTAGTTTTTTTTTCAAGGGTATTACTCCTAAATATCACAATTAATTACAATTAAAGAACTTGTCCTGAATTAGTAATGATCGTGGATCACAACACAGTAGCAGTTGCTGATCCACAGCTTCACCGTTCTCCCACAGAAGTCCTGTTAATGCGGACAATGTGAGAAATCTGTGTGCCAGATCTGTACATTCAATCTTTTTATAGTCTATTGAAAAAATAAACACTTTTTTTTTCCTTTCATAGTCCCTGTAAAGAAATTAATTAGTCAATTCCTTGAAGCAAAACAGCCTCGTTCCAATCTGACCTTGACCACTTGCATTCCACTACCACCACAAGGTTGGTACCTTCAGTGCAATGTAGATATGAACCTTAAGAAAATATTTGAGTTACTTTAAAGCATCATATTTGGCATAAATTCTTGATACCTTTCAACTTCACTCAGAAACAGCCTCCTGCAACCAAAGTTTTTGCAGAAGGACAGAACTCAAATTGTATTCTGAAAGTAACCAGACAACATCTGTGCTTTCAAACAGATGTCCAGTATTTGTGAAAGCAATACAGTACCAGAGGATTGTTCCTATCTACTTCCTCATTACATGTTAAAGATGAGGTAAGCTTGTCTTACTTGCTACCATATTAAGGAAGCCGAAAACTTTGTTTTCAAAACATGAAAAACATGTTTTTCACAACATAATGTTTGTGTCTGTGGAGAAAGCAATCATGAATAAAAAATATAGACAGTGATTACTTTACTAGCCTACAGAAAGGAAGTCATTTCTGCTGGACAATTAGGAGTCCATTCCCCTCACTTTGGAGCTGGTGACAGGACATTTTGAAGGAACACAAGAAAGATTGAACGTGTGATTTTCCTTCCTGATATGAAGGAAAGAGCCACATACATTCTTGCATTCTTGTTCTCCTGTCATACAAACACTTACAGACCCAAGTGATAAATGGAGCTGCTTCACGCTGATGTCTTAAGGGTCACTCACCTAAACTGTAACTGCCAATGAAGTGATTAGGGCTGAAATAAGTACCAGCAAATGAACAAAACCCATATATGTCTATGGGAGGAGAATAAAAGAAATAGGACAAATACAAAAAATAACAAGCTAGAAGAAATACCAGAGAGAAGAAATGGAGGAACGATAACACCCTGCCAGTATTTTTCCACTGATAAAAAGGGGAGGGGTGGGAGTGGGGGGAAGCACAGAACCATAGAACAGATTAGGCTATTAGGCTATTCTTGATAACACATTTAGCAATTTTAAGTATTAAGTATTTAAGCTCATTGTTTTGTAGATTGGTCTCACTAAATATTAAGTGATCATACAGAATCATTGTCTTCTGTACTTTCAGAGACTTGCAAAAGCAGATGCAATGAAGAGATGTTTATGCAAAGGAAGGAAGAAAGAAAATATCCCAAATAGAATCAGAATCTTTCCATAAGCTCACAAAGTGAAAAGAAAAAAAAATGTTAAGATTGGGGTTGGATTAGAAATTTTATGAATAGGTTTAAAATACAGCATTTAATCCAACCAAACTATAACTCACTACACAGGCACATACAGAATGTCATGTTCAATTTAGGACAATCTCTTAAAGCTCAACATGCTCGACATAATGTGAGGCTTGTGAATGCACAACTGCTGTGAACTTTCATTACGGATTGAAGGGTGGCTTTTGTTTTTATACCATGGATTTAACTGAGGCTATTAAGCATCTATGAATAGAAGCTCTCATATTTTGCTTAATAAGGCACTTAAGCATACATACTTGAGAATTAAACAATTCTGTAAACCTGTAAATGTTTGCATGAGGTACTTTTTTTTTTTTTTTTTTTTTTAGTCCTACAACGTTTATGTTTTGACCCGTTAGTGACTGAAGTTCCTCTTCAGAGGAAAAATACAAACCTTTATTTTAGCTAAATGTGTCTTCCGAAGCTTGCAAAGTTCCGCTTACTTCTGCACAAGTGCAGTTAATACTACTGTATATGAGGACTTGGTCAACTCTCTCAGCTCTTCCTAGCTTACTCTTTCATTGCACTTAGCCACAGCAAGAGCCACAATAAAGTGGATAAAACATGGAGAGCCTTTACCTGCTTTGACTTGGCTTTCTCACAATAATTTGTTAGTTCTAAGGCACTGAGCACCAATACAGAACAGATTCTATTTCAACTCTCTAGGTTACACTAATTAACAAAGCATTACTGAGGAACAGTTTACATAGGCACAGAGATTTTGATTTCTAGGTCTATTTTCAACAACATAGGGGGGGAAACAGGACCAAAGCCTAGGGATCCCTAGCCTTAAGACAAGGCTAAGGGAAGATTTCACTGCTGTTTGTACTTAATGAGAGTGTAACAGATCACACAGAGCAAGATTATTTTCAGAGGTAAGCAGTGCTAGGCTGACAGACTAAGGGCACAAGTTGCAATATGGGGAATTTCAGTCAAATACAAGGAAAAAGATTCCACCACAATAATGCTCTAACACTGGACCAGGTTCAAAACTCAGCCTGGAAAAGGCCATGACAGCTATCTCATACAGATGGCCCTGTTCTGAGTAGAGTGATGAACTACATGACCTCCACAGGCCCCTTCCAACCTGAATTGTTTGATGGTTATAGGAATCCAAGATACATGTTCACAGTAAGCATTTATAGCGTATGGTTTGTTTATATGCAGCTTTACGAAGGAGCATTCTATACATGCAATGCCTGATTTTCAAAACTCAGAACACTATTTCCCAGTAGGTTGACAAACACACAGCCTTTCCTTGCTAAGACAGACCTCCAACACAAATGTATTAGTATACACTTTTTCATTTGCACAGTACTTGGAAAACAGCTGGTACACTAAACCTGTTTTTCAGTTTTCCAAGTCATGGATCAGAGCAGTAATTAAGAAAAAATCCTGGCCCTTTCAGATCTGGTTTAAAATCAGGGGAGACTTTAAAGAATGATCAACTTCAGAAAGATCCATCATCTGCAAAGGAAAGTCAAAGCTATGGCTTTGCATGCACTGCTGAGAACAGAAACATACACAGCATTGTCCAAATGTGTTCAAGAGGAATTTAGACGTGCCTAAGAAAAGGCTGCAGTCATAAGACACTTCTTCTGGCAAACCAACTATTTAAACTGAACTTGACCTTTCACAATTTGAGTTTGTGAGTCACATCTGACCCACTTCTGCTTCTTTTGCCAATGTACATGGAAAACATCATCCAAGCATCAAATGCCACTTACTAGCAATTTATGTAATACATATTTTCACTAATCTTACTTCACCAAAAATTACAAATAAACATTTTTTCAAAGACCGTAACATTGTCTTGAAGATTGCTACCATCCTGCAGAAAAAGAACAGTGTATTTATTCATTACAAAGGGAAGACAGACAGCAGGCTGCAAAAAGTCAATACAGTAGCTCCTTCTGAACTCTTGAAAGTTTGTCATTCACTTCATTATATTCTAAGAGAACATCACTACTGAGTAAATGGACAGCCAGTAAGACTTGAATCTCAAAAATGGCAAACACTGGCCAAACAGAAAACTAACTCCAGCTAAAATGCCATCAAAATAATTCGGTTATTCAGTTACCTGTTTATTTTACAGACTCAAAAAAAAACCTCCACACTGAAGTTTAATAAAAGGAAGATATATTTCTCTCTTATTTATGTTTCCAATGTTTTCATTTTGATTCCTTCACAGAATCTCTTCTAAAGGAGCTAAAGCTAAACATACGGAAAAGCTCACCAAAAGTCATCTTAATTGTGGCCAGAACACCTTCTGAATCAAGACTTTCAGGATTCCATAGCTTGCTCTCAGTAGACAGAAAAAATAGTATGGAAATGAAACCTGTAATAATAGAAGTTAGCATTTCTGAAATCTGCTAAAGCCTAAGAAAGAAGTTGAAGACATCATTCCACAGGTGAAGTATCAACCTATTATAGACATTAAGAATGGCACAGACAGTCAACAGGCCAATTCGCTAAAGACAGTAGCCTTACCTTGCACTGCCCTGCCACACAGATTGAAGTCCCGTTTTGGTCACAGGGTGTCCCATCTATCACTTTTTCAGCTTGTCTCACGTAGAATCGGTAGCCTATGGCACGGCAATTCAGCTCACACTTCTGACTTCCCTTCACTGGAGAAAAAGAAAAAAAAAACAACTGTCAGAAAGTCCATAGCATCATTTTTTTTAAAAAAAAGAAAAGCATATACATGCTGCAGTTTGTAAGAATGCAACGTGAATCACTGGATCAAATGAATGCTGAACAAGAAAGCAACTCCATGATAAGCATTTAAATATACTTCATGAAAATTCAACCTGTAGCTCAGCTTTCAATGACAGATATTTTCTTAGATGACCAAGAGTATCTTTAGTTTTAGAAAAATCTTTCCAACTTTGTTCTTCTCGCAATATAGTGATTATGACACATTATGGTATTTTGTAAAACCTAGATGTTAGCAAAATTACACTGTAATCAGACAGATATGCCTCAAATTAGGCTCATGTTACTTACTAACTGGTTAGATTACCTCAAACAAATATACTAATATTTAGTATTAAGAAATGTTTAAAATAACCTAGATGGAAATTAAAAAAAAAAAAATCTGAATCCTTTTCTGTTCATTTTTAAAATTTGCATTTTTGTGACTATTCCTTAGTTCAAGACAAAATTAAAAGATGAAAAATACTATAAGATTTAAAATAGATGAAACACATCATTGTTCAAAAGCTCATCCCAAATAAAACCTCAAGAACCAGCACATCTAAGTGATCTGTTGATATGCAAGAGCCAGAAGGAAATCAAGACCATTGAACTCTGGGTGAGCAGAACACAGAAGATGAGAAACTGTCATCACTGTCCATGAAAATCTATTATTTAAAGAGATCAGTCCAACACACCATGTACCTTATGCTATCAAGTTTGTTAATATATGCATAGTCATTCTATTTAAATTTATCTGTCATGTTAAAGTTGCATATAGTTAATTACCCGTATTTGCCAACTGAAACAACAATACCTTCAGGTTCTTTCCAACTAGTCATGGTGGCTGTGAGGTACAAAAAAATTATTTTGACAACAACAATATCTTTGCTGACATAATCAAAGAACAAAAATTCCACTGACTTCACAAAGCTTCAACTCATACGCTAACAGTGTAACCGAAATTCACTGCAATTTCATCTGTCAAAGAGAAATGCTATATACCTTAGTTAGCCAACAGGTAATATTCCCAAGATGTTCTGCTTGACTCACAGTATATTTCTGTATCTTCATCTAAAGCATAACAATCAACCAAAATAAATACATGCAGTAATTTCACATACATATTTAACACCTATCTTCTGTAAAAGGCACAAACTTTCAGCTCAACTTTAGTTATCCCCTATGTGGACCATAGGACTAGTTCAGCAGACCGATTTTGAAATTTCAGCTGTGTGATGAGAAACATACTAAACTTTAATTGCTGCTCATGTACGTCATCAACTGTGTCTCACAATCTTTTGTTAACATCCAAAACCTCTATTATTTTGAAGTCAGGTCAATGACTTGTTTGCCTGCTTTCCTTTTTGTGAATGGTATGCACACTATGCTCAAGTAGGTCATTTTTCCACTGGTTACTTCGTTAACACAGGTTCACTATCTTATCATTCCAAGGACTTCATTTAATTCTTAAATAAAATAAAATTTAAAAGTGAGATATTTCCTGCAGTCCAGTTCCCAAGTATAACAGGCAGTTATTATGATAAGCTGGGTATTATTCTTATCAGCTCAGATGCTCCTCACACAATCACTTTCAGAATTCTCAAATGAATGTAATCCAACTTCAGTGATCCATTACAATTGAAATCAACTTGTACTTTTCTGTCTCTGAAAGTGTCCTATTTTTACAACCTGTAGCATTAGCTATCAATCAGTTTCCATGCAGCATACATTTTCTTATCTTTCCATTCCCTGAAACCAAGTCAAACTACCATTTAGGGTTTCTTATATATCCACATTTTCAATGCTATTTCCCTGTAGTTCAAGTATCCTGAAGAGTCACATTACTATCCTCTTCCTCCTCCTAATGTCTCTCATTTGGTTTTGATCCTTTAAAATATTTATTATTTAAATTATCAGTTTGCCTGCTAGACTCTGACAGAAGTGTTATGCTACTTAGAAAGCTGAGTAAGTTAACTGTTGAACCATGTAATTTTTCCCTGACTTTCTTTTTTATTTTTCTTTTCTTTTCTTTTCTTTTTTTTTTTTTGATAATTTGGTATGTCAGAGTACTACATTGCTAATTTAGCATATTACCAGTGATGCTCAGGCTGATTTTACTTGCTCTGTAAAGTGAGATGCTTATCTCTTAACTTTTGTCTTTCAGTCTTTTAATTAGGAACTGTTTCAGCTCAAACAAAATATATTAGAAGAGCCACCGGCTTTGAATAGGTAAAACAAATAAATAAAATAAAAATCAATCTTTAACAAAGGGTTAGAGACTCATCCTCTAATACCTTGGCCTTCAGAACTCAGATTCTCTGGATGAGAAAAGCCAAGGCACTGCCTCAGTCAGCCATGTATCAGTTACTAATACTTCGACATGATGTTCCCAGATTTCAAAGATCTACAAAATCTGTGAATGTCTACAAGAGCTCAAGTGTATGGCTCCTACTGAATGAGAGGCATTTTGTATAAGAACGGTGTATTTGTGATGCATGAATTGCAACAGAGCTAACATATTTTAGAATTCGCTTTGTAAAACAAGACACCAAACTAGTAAAAAAAATACTCCATTGCCAATAACCTTCCATGTATCTTGACACCCTCTCCTACCCAGTATTTTGCCACAGCTCTTGTGTTTTTAATTCCATGTCAAACTGCACTATTGGCTTGGCAACTGGACATTGAATGTCAATTAAACAATGAGCTGTGAAGCGATTGATTCCACACAAGCAATGTATTTTAGTACTATGTAATATGATCCCAGACTTTACAAAAGCAGCTATCTGACCTCAGGGAATAGACTAAGGCTATGAGCTGAAGACCTGCCAAGCCAGCTGGCAGCAAGATGCACTTCCACTCAAAATGGGCTCTTTTTGAAAGTGTGACACAGTTAGTGAGATAGCTTGCTGTACAGGTAGTGTTTCACATGTCCTCCTAACTTCTGGTCATTGCTTTTCATTCTCAGGCCTACCTGAACACAACCAAGTCTTTGTGGAAAGTCTCACTTTATCCATTTAAACTACTTTATTAAATTGTGAACTTTGGTGAAATGTAACGCTACTGCAAAAGGTCTGCCAGAAATATTCATTATTGACTTAAATGAAAGAGAATAGTAGTACTTCAGTAAACAATCCTGGTAACACATAATATCTGGGTTTCTTTTTACAGACCGAGAACATAATCTAAACTGAAAAACTCACTACATTTCTAACAATGTTCTTGCCAAACTAGCCTTGAGTACTTCAGGGCTATCCTGAGCATGTCTCAGCTGGCAGACCTGGGAGCCCTTCTCATGTCTCGTGTCAAGAGTTGCCTTCCACCTTTCTGCACAAGGAACAGAGAGAGGCAAGGCAAGCAAGCAAAAACAGGACTGCAGCATGGTTCTTCCACCTCGCGATTCTGTGGTAACGGTACTGAGACCCCAAGACTAATTACAAACTGTACTTCTTTTGCATTACCAAGATGATATTGCAGTAAAAACTCTCCACCATAAATTCTTTCACTTTTTCTACCAGGACATAGAAACCCTGCACATAGGCACCAGCTTAGAAAGTATTAACCTTCCACACACCTCATATTGGAAATCTGCCATAGCAGCAGTAAGGTCTTTAATTGCATAAATTACCTGCTTTGCAATTAATTTGTCATATTCACTGATGCACTAAAATACACACAGAACTTTTTAAGACTGTATGTACTAACAAGTATGTGTAACTTAGAGAAACATGGATTTCTAAAACCCTATCCACCAGACTCTCACACAGAAATACATGGAAATTATAATGAATGCAAGAACAGATGAGTTTGGGCAGCCCAACAGGAACCTGCGGTTGCTTTTACTCTGAGGGTATTTTGATTGATCAAAACAAGGTCACAATTAAACATCAACACATTTCATTTCCCCTGGACATTCTGTCGAAACGCAATCTTTGGTGTACAGGTCTGAGAAGAAAACTTCAGCTGTGCACCCCACCCAAGCAGCTTCCCAGGGGAGCAGGCAGGACCTCAGGTCACCGTCACCACACCACCAGCAGGGCCTGGGGAGCCGTTCCCGGCTGAGGCCCCACGGCTGCCCTTGGGGCGTCAATACCAGCGCATGTGGAAGCAAAACCAAGCCAAGCCTGCTCCCTCCCCGGGCTGCCAGGCCCACGCTCACACAGCGACCCCAGCCCTTTTTACCCCCACACGGGTGCCACCGCACAGGGCAGGTGGGGCCGCTGTGGAGATGGGCCAGGGCCCGAGCCCAGGCCTGCCCCTGGTGCTTATGCCATGCTGAGGCATGCCCTGAAAGAGCATGGCTTGCAGCACAGAGGCCCCACAGCCCCCAAATTAAAATCCTCTTCCCTCAGCAATTGTCAAGGTTGACACAGCCCTTAGAGAGAAGCTGAGGTGTTTGGAGTTACTGCTTGTATCTGTTGCCGTTACACCCTCTGGAGAATTGAAAGCAACTTGGGCAGCTTCCCCATCAGCCTCCCCCTGCTAAGGCCTTCCTCCGTCCTTCTGCTCTCCTGTCCGGGCGCAGAGGAGCCAGGAGGAATTCCTCTCCCCGAAAGGAGCAGCTCCACACCACCAGCATGTGCAGAGGGTGCTTTTGGACTTCACACCAACTACACCCTTCCTGCAGCTTCCTCCTCCAATGTTTTCTGCCCTGGTCACCAGCTTGTTGCCGAAGGACATGCTTGATAATTGGTGACAGGGAGGAAAATGGACACCAAGGCGGCCAGGCTGCTGGTAGAGCAGCTCAGCAGCGAGCTTGAAGAGATAAGGAGAGAGCTGAACAGGCAGCTTGCCAATGCAAGGAATTTCAATCTAATGATATTCTTAGGAAAAAATGTTACAAGCAAGAGCATTCCAACTCTAATACATTTGCTAAATAATGTATTCAGATGTTCAAAGGGAAATTAAAAATAGCCAAGGAAAAAAAAAT